TCGTGGGATGTGGGACTATTACAGTGCGATCAAGTAAAAATGTAATGTCTACTCCGTTTTTCCTTTCTCTGCTAAAGTACGTGTAATTACAATCAGCACCTGGTTTATAGGAATGCCTACATGGGAGCAGAAGTCGATATTTTGCCGATAACAAATTTTAATTACTACTAACCATGACAAGCCTTAATGGTGTAAACCAGCTATTCCATAGGTGCCACAAACATGAATGTATTATCTTATTCCCATAGAAAGGTATGGGAAATAATTGATGTCGTGTTGATAGCCATTCGATAGTCACGTCATAATAGTAATTGACTACTAACGGAAATTCCCCAAGGGGATGGACACTCTATAGAACATTGTTTGTTAACAGGATTACACGGTGATAAAGCCTGGGCGATTAAGCACATTTGAGTTTGACTTTCTCGTTGAGTAGCCTACTCTTGAATTGCTCACAATCAGACTTCATCTGGGCGATTTTCCGACTTCTACCCATCACCATCATCACAGGTCTCCAGATGTTCTGAACCTTACAAAGCTTCGAAGTGGGACTTCGATTAAGTGCACATATGCAAGAAATCGCATGACATGTGCAGGACGGTCGCATTGCGTTCTCTTCGTTGCGGGAACACAGTTACCGTAAACGGCGTCCCGCCACCCCCGCCGCCATTTTACGTAGCCAAGCCATCCAAAGTCTCTCACGCTAGTATGATGGAAAAAAATTGTGCAACCTGAAATCATCGTATAAAAAATGATAAAAATAGAAATGCACTGAAACGTTTGGAGAAGTCGTCTCATTGGCGTCATAACCGTCTGCTTTGCACTATTGTTGTGACGAAAAGATTAGAAGTTAGCCTCCATGGTTTGACGTTTGCGTCTATTCAGAATTCAATTAAAATTGCAATTTTCTCAAACAAAAAAGTAGCGGCAGAGGTAACTTTGCTTGCGGCAAACTAGGAATGCACTTTAAAGAAACAAGGCTTGTGAAAATGCCCTTTTTGTTTTGAAACCATTTCGTATAGCCCAAAGTGGCTCGAGACAATGCAGATTCCACAGAGCGTAGACTCTGCAATACCCCTAAGTGAACCCGAACAAACCGGGATACATCTGTCTGGGCGGATGTGATTTTTCCAGCTGCTAAGAAAAATTTCAAGAATTGTAGGCGCAAAGGAGTTAGAGAGTAGACCGTAGGAAAGCCCGTACGGCAACGAATAATAGCTGCGTTTAAGGTTCAAATCGATAACAAGACAAATCGCTTACAAATTGGATTATTTTATTGAAATATTCATTAATAAAAAGTTCGGCAATGTAAAGACCATAAGTAGGAGTACGGTATGGTAATAAAAAAAAACAAGCCCCGAGCGCACACACGTGCTTAGGAAGAACTAAGCCTGACATTTACGAAGACAAAATCATTAGTCGCTCAGCTCTATGGAGTGTCAGTATCGGCACCGCCCCCTATGATATCACTTTATAGAAGTTGTCCGAGCTGATTAGGTGAATGTCGAGTTGACATACAACTAGAAGTCCCCGATGAAGACTCAACTCATGAGGTTGGGTGGGTGTAAGAGTGATTTGCTACGTTACAAGTATCCCAAGCCCCTTGAAAGACGACTGCTTCCCAATCCTGCCCATACCTAAACGAAAAGTCCTTAGACTAATGAAGAAGTACGAAAAAGGTGGCGAGGTGCTGGATGTTAGAGGTGACAGACTGGCATTGGAACAACGTGATGTCTAGAGGGGCAGTTCGTTCTCGGAATGATCCAAAATCCAGGGAAGTCAAACCTTCCATCCCTCTTGGAAGGTTTATTGGACTCAGACTCATCTCGAAGGATGAAAACACACACATATACATAAGATAGCCATTTTGAAGTCAGTTCAGTATGTATAGCCCCAAAAAGCACTCGAAAAATACTTGCTTTACTAAATCGGAGTCAAATGTGGGGCGTATCCCTCGCATGGAATTAAACATAAACATGAAAAATCAACATTAGGAAACCTTGAGTTTTTTCATTTACCATAAACTAGTGATCTAAGCTCTGTTCACAAAAAAAAGAAGGCGGTGGGTTGAAGCTTCCTGAGCAGAAACGCAGAACATCAAAGTGTATGTATACAGCGAAACGTAGTTGGCTACTGCCATAAATTGAATGAGAAAAAAACGGAAAGCTTTTACGTCAGAGTTATTGCATTACTAGGGTGCTCCGTTTTTCTTTCACATTTCTATTTTGAGACTTAACTTGCTTCTATATCTACAATTATTACTAAGCTAATTTCAAAACGCAATAAAGATATACAAAGTTGTCGCACATTACCACGTGCCACAACCCCTGAAAAAAATTGAACCATCAAATTTGTAGGAATAAAAAAATCGCGCAGAAAAGAAAACAAAATTGAATTCAAGCAGTTCAGAAGTGAGTAGTGGAAGCCACCTTTATGGGTCCTACTTCTCATTTACCCCAAAATTCCTATGACGTACGAAGGACTGATGGTAAACTGCTGCGAATCTTCAATCGGCTGCGAATCTTCAATCGCACAGAAACGAAAATTAAGTACGGCACTCGGCTCTTACAGTAANTGAGAAAAAAACGGAAAGCTTTTACGTCAGAGTTATTGCATTACCAGGGGGCTCCGTTTTTCTTTCACATTTCTATTTTGAGACTTAACTTGCTTCTATATCTACAATTATTACTAAGCTAATTTCAAAACGCAATAAAGATATACAAAGTTGTCGCACATTACCACGTGCCACAACCCCTGAAAAAACTTGGACCATCATTTTTGTAGAAATAAAACAAAATCGCTCAGAATAGGAAACAAAATTGAATTCAAGCAGTTCAGAAGTGAGTAGTGGAAGCCACCTTTATGGGTCCTACTTCTAATTTACCCCAAAATTCCTATGACGTACGAAGCACTGATGGTAAACTGCTGCGAATCTTCAATCGGCTGCGAATCTTCAATCGCACAGAAACGAAAATTAAGTACGGCACTCGGCTCTTACAGTAATCTAACCCCATGTTATTAAGCAAATTTGCCCCGTAGCATATACGACGCGTCGAAAATGGGCCTCAGGCAAGGACGCAGGGGTGGGTGTTGAGTAAGTCAAAGGTTACTGTAGGAGCCGAGTGCCCGTACTGAATCCTCGTTTCTGTTTCAACCTTAAGACGTCATTTTGCAGAATGCAAACTTTGCAATTCTGTAACCAGATGATAGTGAGTTACAAAAAATATCAGTTCAACATGGGGGTATGTCGCAAGAATGACGCATCAAAGGGGTCAATCTATGGCAATGGACAAGCCCCGTTCGTAGGCTGTAGAGTACATCGGGAGGGGGGGGGGGGGGGGGGNGGGGGGTGGTTCAATGTGCAGAAAATTATTCGGGTAAGATTCCACCTGGAACACTATATCTTCTGAGGACATTAGAATCTGGCTTGTTCGTCGTTTCTGAAAAACAGGCATACTGGTTCATTTTCCGTGAGAAGGTAAATGTATAAAAGTAACTATGTAAAAAAAACACCTAAGCCGTTTAGGCTACAACTGCAGTGCTGCAGTGTTAGTTGCACGATCTTAGAAAGTCTGTTTCATAGAATTCCATCGAATGGATGAAAAAATGGCTAAAGCAAAAAGTGAAGTAAAAAAAATCAGTTATACCATAAAATGGCAAAGTAACTTACTTCAAAAGTAAAAGTACATTCTGCAATTTTATTAGCCTGAAAAAGCAAAAGCATCGAAAGTCACGAAACTTTCTCCCAGTCGCTTAGATAAGTGTCAGAAATCGTTATGAACATAGCATTTTAGCACAGATTAGCTATAACAATTCTAGTAGGATCACCTCTGATTGATTTTGTAAGTTTCCATAACTACTATGATGTTCCAGAAAACGAAATCAAGTTCTAATTTTTACCCCGTCTGAAAGGGCTCTATTTAAGCAAAGGGGGTTATGTAAGATTTCCTGCTTCCACCCTTCGAAGTGGCATCATTTGTGAACAAGAGGAGAAATCGTTGAAGAGGAAGAGACATCCAAAAGCCTGAAGAAAGTACTAAAACCACTGCCACCCCGATTGAGATTCTCANTTATTGGCATCAGCTCAGTAATTGAAAAAGATAATTAAGTAATAATCTGAATTTGAATAAATTATATGAGTTAACGGATAAAGAACATTTAAAACGAGATGTATATGGTAGCTAGGAAGGTGGGTAGGAGGAGAAATCTACTCTTCGGAAGAGGCGCTGGAGTGCACTGAAAAAGGGGTAGACAGCTCTGTGGGCCTGTAATGATGCTCTCTAAGCAACAATAGTATGCTAGCATGCTAGTGCTTGATCTTTTGAGATTAAATGAGTTAGCAGTCGACAAATAATCAGTTCCTCCTCCACCCTAGCTTTTTGCAAAAGTAGTCAATTTATCGCCCCTGTGCTCCTTCGCTCCTGAGGCTTGATCAACAAATTATAGTGCTCTGGCTAAAAAACGTTTCCAAGCATCATCACAGGTGCGCAGTGCCTGCTACCCTCGCTGCTCTGCGATCTAGCGCTCAGGGTTGAGAAAAAGAGGAGATCCCGGGTATGTGTCACCTCGTGCGTCCGAGGACGCGCGCGGCAAACTGCGCGACGAAGTTTGTAACGATTTGAAAGACTTTAGCACCTATCATTGGGGCCCATATTCAAAGGAGAGTAGAATAGAAGGATCGTCTGACCCTACCAAACTATTCTATTTCGAGTTTTAGCCCCAAAAGTTAGCGACAGAGTCGTACAAATGGTCACGAACTTCGCCGCGCAATTTGCCGCGCACGTCCTCGGACGCACGAGGTGACCGTCCCCCGGAGGTCTTATGTCCAACTACATTTTTACCATGGCTACTCCTATAAACTTCAACTACCTGATTATATTTATGTAACTTCTAAAAATAACATTGTTATCAAGAGGAAAAGATATGTTGTTGTTGATGGATATCAAACTACGGTTAGTGTTACCCTACTTGCTTGTTTCATTGAAGAAAGGTGGTGGACAATGGCAGAGGTCATGCCTTCTTCAATTGTCGACCGATTTACATCAGGGAATCACATCGATAAGTACAAGGTTTTGCAAAAGCTTGGCGAAGGCACCTTTGGAGCTGTATATAAGGTGAGTAGTAAAAGTGTACTTATACTCCCCAATAAAGTTCTTAATAGACCTGATTTGATCAGGTTGAGCAAACAGATCGAAAGGTGTATGCTCTCAAAATTGAATCAAACAAAGTGAAAGTACCGGTACGTTGCCAATTGTTGCCACATTGTGAAAATACAAAGTTCCTTTGTCTACGTCAAACACTATGGTCTCGTTTAGAGTCGGAGATCTGTGAAATTGCGGAGGCGCGCAACCAATCGATATGTACCCACCGCTAGTAACAAGTTCTCCACTTTCACTATTCCCCAGTCATTGTACTCTAGACTAAAGAGCTCGCTAATTGTTGAAATACTAATAAGTCGATGGAATCGAAAGCAGCTCTGCGGTGGTGGGGATCGAAGCGAAGAGAGAAGAAGGAAATTGATAATCGTCATCTACTTAGGTTCTCTGGCGGCTCTTTCCCTGTAATCGATACATATCGAATCCCTATAAATTACCGACCCTGCTAAGTAGATTAGGCCGGAGTCTAATACCGATCGATATACATACACTCCACTATTCCCGCATTCCACTAATCAATAAGCGCTGCTTCGGACAGCGTTCAAGACAACCATTTAGGACACTAGCAAGAAAGCGGGGCAACTAGCAAAGAATCGTCTCATACTGTGAGCAGGTCGAGACCACCTACACATCCAAAGGAAGTACTTATCAATAATGAGAAGTACTAATTAGCTCGGAACATCAGAACTTCGAATAAAATCCCGCTAGCCTCTGTCAAGTATACCAAACGCTATCATATAGGTAAGTAGGAACACCGGCTAGTGCAAAGTAGGTGCGATATTTGTCCCGTCAACTTTTACTTCCCCAACCTCCCCATCGTCCTCGTAATCTTCGGTTCAAAGCACTTCCATTAGTTTATAGAAGAGTTGCAGCTTCTGCGACTCGAGTTCCACGTTATGGAGCAACTTCAGAGCAGAAATGCCACACACTGTCCACCTCTGATCGCCAAAGGGACCTATAAAGACTTCAATTTCATGGTGATGAAACTACTTTGGATCTCCCTACAGGTGCGAACGGTTGGTCATAATTATCCTACGGTCACAACATTTCATATCGTAATACCCTCTAGAGGAAAACTCTAGGTGCCGGGGTATGGGTAAGCACATGCCATCGTCATCAGCGCATTAAAGTTGGATCACCATGTGCGCAGCGGCTTCCGTTATTTGAGTCAGGGCCCTCAGTCTCCAACGCATGGTATATAAAGGGCTTCGACGTGACTTACAAAGGCTGCCATGCATGGGGGAACGTGAAGACGACGATCATGTGTGACGACCTATACTCTAGCGCAGTATATCGATTATGCGCCATTGCATAACCATGTAATCAATACCCATCATAAACAGGCATGCCAATAGCTACATTGTAGTGTAGGAATGATTGGGTTCATTGGTGTAAGGTTCAAATAAGGCTGAACTTACAGGATGCCAAGAAAACAGGACCTGATAAACATTTATCACTGGGGCCAGCCATAGGGGTATCAATTCAGTGCCTTGAAGCTATTGAAGAACTACATGGGACAGGATATTTACACAGGTATGAAAATAGTGTTACCTTGTGGTACACAAGGTCAAAATTTTTCATATTTTTTTACGGTGGAGGTTGTTGGCCTGATGAATCCCGAGCATCGGCCCTAAACGGCCACAGCATGTGCCGGCCGTGTCCGACGGCTCAAGTTCCTTATATGAATCCTTCATCTTACCATTAGATGTAAAGCATATTGCATTCAAGGGATATAAAACCGGGAAACTTCGTGGTTGGACGAGCAGAAGATGGAGAACTACGAAAACTCTACATAATCGACTTCGGAATGTGCCGCAAATACAGTAATAGTAATAAGGTATACGTCCAGAAATAAAATTTTTGTAACCGGGTGATAGCGAGGGACTCCGTTTCTATATAAAACCTTCTCATGCAGGACTTATTGTAAGCCAAGATTCTACTCTTCTATGTTTGGCCAAAGAAAAAAAGATGGCATCGTTAAAAAAAAGTATCGCGGACCTCGCCTTTAACTACTCGCACCATGATTGTGAAGACAAAGTTCTTAGAATGCAAACTCCAACATTTACTGACAGTCCTAGAGTAGATACCAATGTGTAGCCTATCCTAAGAGAATGATGAAAGAAATGATTTTCAGACTATAATAAAACCACGTAAAAAAGTACAATTTCGTGGCACTCCCCGATACGCTCCGATGGCTTCTCACCTGAAAAAAGAACACTGCCGCAGAGATGATATTGAAAGCTGGTAATTTGTGTATAGATATCGTTTGATTTGAAGTTAATCGACTTTAGAGACGAGTCTGGTATCATTCAACGGGCGCCGGTAATCTATCTCAGAAAGATACCATGCGCCCATAAGGCTCCACTAGACGTCTGTGAGGACAAAAACACTGACTCACGAATAGACTAGGCACCACAATTCATTGTTTCAAGCCACATTCCTATCCAACACTCCACTGCGATTCAGCATGGAAACCGAGCGTCGAAACGCATCGCACAAGACACACATCGCACTGTTAACTTGGTCAAAAAATTTAGACGACGATAAACAGACTGTATCGAATGGGTCGCTCCGAACAGGGCTGCCTCCAGAAAATGTTATCTTTCGAAATTTTTGGGGGCCCATGTGGGACAGTACACAGGTGGCAATGGGGATGCATGTGGGACGGTAACTACCACTAGGGTTTGATCCTAGATCAAATCAAGCCTACTGATGTACTGTAGGGCTCAACCGAAACAGACGATCTTTCATATCGATGATATCAAAGCTATTTGAATATGACAGAATCTCTCAGAACAGGAGGCAGATAGAAAGCTCCATTAATTCACTCCGATATAAGTTCATCGTATTAAGATTGGAGAAATAAAAACAAATGCACGACATGAGCCAGTTCTTAGTGAGTTGGTGAAGCTTGGGCCAAGAAAGGAATACGAGAAGGTGTTAAAGTGAGTTCTGAATAACATGCTGGTGCAGTATAGAGGGCAGGGTCTATAGCTATCACTCAGGGTGACACATCTTCTTCTGAATAAAACCCTAATTGAATCGCCTGGGCCATCTCGTTCTAACTCCTGACCTTTCTCCCTTCCCTGCCCCAAAGGCTTTATAATCCAACACTTAGCGCACGAAGCTCATGCGGGATAACCTAGGAGGGTACCAGTACCGGTTATGAGTCCGAAATCAGCGACGAAGTCATCCAAATGGAAATCGTGTGCGTGGCGCATTCTAGGCAGATAGAAAGCTCCATTAATTCACTCCGATATAAGTTCATCGTATTAAGATTGGAGAAATAAAAACAAATGCACGACATGAGCCAGTTCTTAGTGAGTTGGTGAAGCTTGGGCCAAGAAAGGAATACGAGAAGGTGTTAAAGTGAGTTCTGAAAGGAAACATTTTTGAATTGGCTTATTGATATAAAATAAATGTGCACACATTGGAAACGATTTCTTTTTCAGGTACATTGATGGGCTTAAATTTAATTCGGAACCAAATTACGGACTCATTTACAAAACCTTACGTAAAGCTATGAAGAAAAAAAAGTTAAAAGAATTCCCCTATGACTGGGAAAATGCGAATGCATGACCTTAAACGGCAAAGAAAAAGGAAATTTTCGAAAAACTGAATATATACTCATAAAGAAT